AGGAATCCCTCGCACAACAACGATCAAAGTCGTCATTTTGGCGATAATGGGAATCTCCCCGCCTTGCACTTTTGTGCGAGTGCTCATGCGACGTGGCACAAGATGGCTCGGGCCGTAACATGTCACAGAGTCGCAATGCCACAGTTATTCTGCACGGGGCACGATCGGAGTTTGCGGGTCCCTCGGAGCCTTTGGGTCCACTGTGTGCCACTTGCTTTCCTTTTCTTTGACGCACTGCAATGCGTGTGGTACGGGCTTTTGCCCTTTTACGCACTTTCGCGCGACCTGCAAGAATTTTCGGCTGTGGCACCGCCCCATTTGATTCAGGTGACATGACCCGATCCAATCAATCCAGCCTTTGGCTAATCGTTTGGAGAGTATTGTTGAACCTCTCCAGGTAACTCATGACAACTAAATCGAGCCGTGAGCTTGAAGAGATATCCCCTATGATATTTTGCTGGGCTGGGGCCACTTCAGGAGAAGTGTCCTCTTGTACCCGAGGGATCTCTTCATTGCCATAATTGGTTCGCTCAGATTCAAAACGGCAAGCTATTTGTTGTAGTGGGACCGATTAGTCAGAGATTCTCCTGATGAAGAACAGGTACTAATTCAATGCACTCCTTTTAGCGCCAAACTGTTAATGCTTGATTTTGATACTAACTACTCGCACATGAGAAATGCTAAGCGAGCTTAGAAGTCACATGTGATTATGGAAGTATTTAGTTGGATAAAGAGTGAAGAACAATGTTTAAAGTGGTTCGGATGCTCATAAAGCGAATCCTACGTCCACTGATATTGTATTAATGAGTAAAGTCAGGTCGCGTTCAGCGAGCTGAATTACAGCTTAGAAATTACAAGAGAGAGAGAGTAAGCTATTCCAGAGTGAAATTAGCCAATCCCACAAATGGGAGAGGAGTCCTCTATTTATAGTGGGATGAATTAAGGTAATGATTACTAAATCTACGAGTGGGGTAGATGCCATGCAAATCCTTCTCTACGTCTCATTGCTCACCTGCCCGAGTGATTTCCTCGACTTGTGCAGGGATTGGACACGTGGACCATTTCCAACCATTCGCCAACTTGACGCACACCCACTACACTGGCAGACGCATGCCACTCACGTCATCACATGACGTGACTGTACCTGAGCGGTTGTAGAACTTTCTTAAGTTCTTACCACCCATGCTGACAAGACTCTACGTCAGCCCTTCTTTTCCAAGTATAACAAGACCTAATCAATCCACCATCTCGTATATGATTGGGCCTCGGGGGACTGTGGATTTGCGCCAACGCTGCCACTTAGACATCCGCAATTCTAAAGGTAAGCTTTCAGGTTTCAAGATGTCAAAAGTATGCTCAAGTATGGTTTTCTGGTGTCTTGCATGGTACAGCTTGCTCAGGTACATATCGTTACAAAATTGGAAATTATTATGAATATATCGTTTGTGAACTGTAATTATATCAGTTATGGTAGCCGCTAAAATCTTGTCTATGAATATGTTGATATATGATACCCATTTTGGGCTTGTTCGGGAAAGGAAATTTGCAGAAAACAGGTGAGCTATAATAATTCAGATATAGTTATTTCCTCACATCATTGATCTCATCTTGAATTATTCTGTTCTATCATTGAAATAAAAATATATTCTCATTGCAGAGGAAATTAACTTAAAATACATAAAATAAAACTAAATAAAAGTAGTTCTTTATATGTTATTCTCACAAATTGATTTTCTTAGACTATGGGAATAATTCCAATGCTAGAATTGATAAAGCCAAAGACATGGCAATCAAAGACATACCGTTATAGAATCTTTTAAGTACTGCGAATAGATGGTTGTCTCCGATCAGTAACGAACTAAATGCTCCAGTGAAGGAGAACATGATGCAGATCACAAACCCTTGATAATTGACTGTATTTTTCTGGAAAAGAAAACCTCCTCTGCTGAGATATACCGCTACTGAGTACATAACGAGGCAAGCCGCAATGGCCACCGGCATTTCCTCAATTATAATAGAGGGTTGGGAGGGCCGTACTCCTGTATCATGATCCTGTATTGAATGAGGGTTGGGATCCATTTCAACATTTGAACTTACAAGCGGAAGATTGAACCTTGGTCAAAATTTGAACAAGCATCAGGTTCAACGCAGAAACTTGTAAAAATGCAATGGCACAAGCTGCGTAAAACTTGAAAACCGGCATGTTTCTTATATTATGGTTCATAAGAAACTTCCTAGAAATTTGACACCACATTCATTTCGTGCACTTGCCAACTTTTAGTAACTTCAACGAAATTTATTCAGATCATAGTCTTTGCTGAACAAAAGTAAACGCTGGGTGAATTTCCAATTGGAAAGAAACTGCGGAGGAAATTTCCACCTGAAAGGAAACTGCGGAGGAAATTTCCACTTACTTGTCAGTGGATTAGTGACCCACACGAACTTTATGCTTGACCTTCGCCATTTTATTACAAAACAGAAAAAGACTATCCCGATGGTACTAACTCAGAGTTGGAATTACTGACCACTAATAAATTTTCAACCTAAATTTATACAGAATATCTATCCTCTTTTCATCATTATTTCGGTTCGTTTGGAAATATAGGCGTTTTATTTCTGATCATCTTAACCAAACCAATTTCAATTTAGTTATTCAACTGCAGTAACCGTCATTTTTTTTTTGGGGCGGGGGGAAGCCGGTCTTAGGACTGGACCTGGACCAGGCCCAAGAGAGGAGGGACCGGCCTGGGCCCAAAAAAATTATGGGTTCAAGACCGGTCCTTGAAAAATTGGGTTTGGTCTCTCAAGAACCGATCCCAATTTGGGTCCAAGCCTTCCCAGGCTTGGGACCGCCTAAGCCAGGCCTTACCCACCTCTAATCCGTAAACCTTAAACCTTAAAACCTAAAATCTAATTGCTCACCCTTGGTTTTAGAATAGAACATTTACCCCCATCGTCAATGTCAATGATGAGGTAGTGAAATATGACCTCCACAAGTGCATAGTGGCGGAAAAGACTATAATACCCTTGGGCGATTTTAAAAACCAAAGCCTAATCTTATTAAACCCCATCACCACCGGGCCGGCAAATCGCGGCGTGAGCCATAGCGGCTTGGCTGCGATTTGGCCGCTCAAGGCTAGTCTTCCGTGGCTTGGCTGCGATTCAGGCAAATCACGGCCTTAGCAGCAGTGGTTGGCCACGATTCACGCAAATCGCGGCCTGAACCACCGCTGTTTGGCCATGATTTGGCCGCTCGACGCTTGTGCCGCCTGTAATATCATAGCATCGCCAACAAAGTTCATCGTCTCATCCCAATCGCGCTCTTTGTGCAGCCGGTAGCCGCGGCTGTTGTGCGGCCAGACTCGCCAGCGAAGGGAGAGCTCAGCCGCCCGTGGAAAACTGCCTCTGGCGGCTACATCACGGTGGCCGTGCTTGGCTCTACGAGCCATGAAGCCGCCGCACACAATCAACCCACAACCACCACAAATTTCAAACATTTGCAATCCAACTTCTTTGATTCAAAAAGCCAAACAACACACAATACAAATCAAGCAACAAAGATCATTAATAAATCATCAAAATAGCAACAATCCCCAAAGAAATTTCGAAATCTCCATGGGTAGCTCACAGCTGTGCAACGGAGAGAATGGGTTTCGCTTTGTTCGTTTTCTTCAAGTCTCCAAGAGGTTGTTCTTGGACTTTGAATGCTAAAGCATTACAAAAGAAATTCCAGAATACAGATTCGGGAATAAAATAAGATCTCCAGGAGTTTTTTCTATTTTAGCTTGTGTTAAGATGAGTTCTATTTCAGTTTGTGTTAAGATGAGTTTGGAAGAAAGAGATCAGGGTTAGTATGAGGATTTTCAAATATATCATAATTTGTGAACTGTTGGGAATACCCTGTTAAAAGTAACGTTTGAATTTTAATGATGGGTGGGAAAAGTTCGTTTGGAAAAGTTCGTTTCTGAAACCAAAGTGGAAAATGAAAATTCATCAAACTTTGGGTAGGAAAATGTTATCCGACCTTTCCATGAAATCAAAATCCTTCGATTAGGAAAATTTTCACCATTGGTGAAGTCTTCGACCCACACGTAACTTTATTTTATCAGTTTGACATTCTTCTTCTTGTTCAGTTTGACAAAGCTGTGTAAGGCAGAGATGATTTCAACATATTTATTATATATTTGCTTCAAATGAAACTTCCCAGAAATTTCGACGAAATTTTCGAGCATTAAAGTAACTTCCCAGAAATTTTCGAGCATTGAATTCCCAAAAAGTTTACCGTCAATCTCTGCTTGAAAGTAAACTGGTATGAGATTTCCACCTGAAATGAAACTGCTATGAAATTTCCACCAAGTTTCTCGTCTGAAGGACTAGTGGCCCACAAGAACTCTTTTCATGAAAAATATCGGACTTTACCATTTAATGACAGATGACTTACTAACTACAACGAAATTTCCGGCTTGAAAGGAAACTGCTACTAAATTTCCGATTGTGTCGGTGACCCACACGATACTTCACCCTTTGGAGTTATCAAAATTTACCATTTAATAACAACAAAAAAAATTATTGTCACTTATATTTAATGTCAAATTGCAATATGAGAATATAACTTTATAACACACCAAATAATAACTTTTTTCTGCAATATTATATAAGCTTCTGATATTCGTAGTACTAAATATTAATGTGGTCAATTTATTTTAAGGCCTCAATAATAGAGCTGAATTGTTTTTTATATAAATAATAAAACTCTAATATTGTCATCATATAAATTTATAGTTTTCTTACTTTATGTTAAAATTCTAGAATATTAGGGGTGTCACATTAACTATATGTACCACTCAACGATACATTTATACGTTTATGATTACTTTCTCTCTTATTAATATTTATCATAAATGGCTTTTGGTAGTTGATAGCCGTGGTATTCTATTTTATGAAACAGTTTGGAAAATTCTATTTTATGGAACGAATATTCTGTTTTCAAATTAAAAGTGTTAAGCCTCTGCCGTGCATTAAGAACCCTACGTTGAAAATTGAGGGGCAGAAGTTACCTTATAAGTTCGAACATATATATATTAAATGGCAGCAGTAGCAGTGGATTCTCGCTGCGATTACTTACTTTGAGTAATAAGTTGTGCGTGTTTCGGAAATTGTGTCTTCCTCATAAATCTTCAGTTACGTCCAATGGATACGGAGAACGAAAATGGTCCAATCACCACACTCGTTGCTCAGTTTAACACGGGCGATCCATCGAGTTCTGTTGCAGCAGCGTGGCCTGCGCAACAGCACTGGAGTTGGTCCTTTCAAAGGACAGTTGCTTTCTCTGCTCATTCTTCTTATCGCTTTCATAGTCAGTATGAGGAGTTTCGTTTCCAAGTTCCTGGACATGAACCCTGGCATTCGATCGAGGGACGTTCTCGAGGAGGGGGAATGGTTGACAAAGAGCGGTTGTTCAGTCACCGTAAGCTAACAGAGACAGTGTTCGTTACTGCCGCCCAAGGAGCTCTGGCTTTATTCACCTTTTTGTTCGCACCTGGTGGTGGATCAAGTACTGGCTACCTCAGTACCCTGTCTCATAATAGTAAACTTCTCTTGCGTTCTGCAGTGGTTTTAAATGTTATTGGATTTCTGTGTTGCTTGAACAGCATGTTGTTACATGACCGGAAACCTGGAGCTTCTACAATCTTGACTGGCGTCGGATGCGCTACTACTGTTTACGGATTCCTGGCTGTTATGGGCGTGGTTTTACACGATCATCTCATTCTATGGGTCTTCGGTGGCGCCTGCATTGCATCAACCCCGGCGATAGCAATTTTTTTGAAGAAAAAAACTCACTAATTAAAAAGTGGTAGGAGTAAAATTCGACTAAGTAATTGAGATTCTCTTATTTGGACTATATAAGGTAAAGTAAACGTTTTCCGTTTTACCCTTTATCCACTAGTTTCCAGTACAGATAAAAACTGAACTATCACACAAACACACCCAAAAAAGGATAATTGGAAAGAGCAAATATATATATTTGAAAAATAGTTTATTTTGTAGAGAGTTTAACTAATATCCAAAACTCAAGAGGAACTGCCGCCCAACCACATTTAACCCCAATGGACTCATCTCAAGCAGCAAAGACTGAAGCTCACTCATCAGGGACCAGCCACAATTACCGTCCACAACTCATCAGCAGTCGAAACTTAGAGGGACAACCGGCGAAAAGGAACTGAAATCTGTTTTTTCTTCTAATTTCTTGTTAATTGAAAGATTATAATGGAGCTAAAGTCCTTTTTGCCACTATCTTTCTTTTTATTTGCCAGATGAATTTAAAAGTTATTTTCTATAGCTTTTTTTGGGAATTGAGTATTTACGGTGCAGGGTCAAGAATTCAACTAGACGGTTAAACATTTGGATGTGTTGGTTTTCTTTTAATCACCGTGTATTTAATTTGTTGAAATAAACAGATGCAAGAATTCGTACTTGAAAAAAAAAAACATAAAAATCTTTTATACACATCTTAAACCTATTTCTATTTTAAGAGCTTATTGAATTGTTTCTTTCATGAGAAGTAGCCCTCGATACAAACTAAATTGTTCGAAGTTAAGATAATAATTTGTCTTTGTACCATAAAATGTTGGGTACTTTATCCTAATTGCATGTCATGCAAAGTCAAAGGGGGCAGAGGTAGAGTCAAGATATTGCTATTTTATTTCAAAAACTTCATTTCATGAGGCTCCATTTAATTCGTGAAATTCTATTTGTTTGAAGTTGAATATAGGAAAATTAATGTACGATAGTGACAATTGATTGATTAATATGAATTGACAAAGAATGAAAAAAAGAAGATATAAATATAAGGGTTAATTATCTTGGAAATACAAAGGTTCATTTTGTATTTTAGTCATTTATATATATCTATAATTTTAATTGGGGTTTTATAAGATAATAAAATAGGTGCAAATAACACCACTTGAAATAAAAGAAAAATACTATCAAATTTAATAAAAAAATGTTATTCGTCCTATCTTTATAAGATATTCATTTGGAATTCTGTTTAAGCGTAATATTATTGTTTTGCAAGTTTAGTCAAAGAGGAGATAAAGGGGAAGGAGGAGATATTTTTCATGAAATTTCCTCCAAGTGTAAATGTGTAGTTAATAGGTATTTTTTTAGTCAAAAGAAGCAGATTCGTGGGTAGTCTGGTCACATCAGAACTCACAAGGAGACTCTTTGCTAACTTTAATTTCTGGAAGTCCAATTGTAATTATCTAATGAAGTTCAACTTACAAAGTGCGAAGTTTCCAAATGGATCATAGGAAACTCCTCAGAAATTTCAAATTGGTTAATGTTTTGTGATAAACCATGAATAAACATTGGGAGTCGGGACAATTTTGCTTTTGGAAAGCAGTAACTTAAACGTATAAAAGATTAAAGAGCGAGTTTTCTACGAAAATTTTACGACCAATTTTCTTGTCTGATTTAACATCTTATAGTTTTGTGCCTTTTGGCATGCATGCCCATTTACCTTTTGAATCCAATTTCGTACAAGGGTCGTAAGGACGCAAAAGAAAAAAAAATATTGTTTGTAAATGATATAGAACAGCACTTTCAGATTATACATGAATATTGAAGGAAATGAATTTTTATATTAAAATTTATCAACCAATATCTTTTTTATAATAGCAATTAAAGAATTTGTCCAAAATATGTATTTCACTCCAAAATGGGGGGAGTGATTTTAATTTTTAAATAAATAGAAACATATATTTTCTAATTAATCCTTTTGTTTGTGTCAAAATTTTCCTCTTCAGTGGGTATCTCCTAAACTATAAGAAACAAAAGAAAACAACTCCAGTCCTTATCTTTCTGCTTCATGTTGCTTTGTATTTCGCTCTGCCTTTTAATAATACACAATACATAGCGTAATGATATGATAAAATAAGAGTAATGTGAATCCACAAATGTTAGCGAGACTATGTTATATGGAACCTGACTTTAAGGCTATGCCGGAGGCTTTGGATCAGGGGCGTAGCCAGAAAATCATTTTAAGGGGGTTAGGACGTTAATTAAACTTAATAATATAATTGTAAATAAACTTATAATTAATAATATATTTGATATAAGTTATACAAAAATATGAATATGTATTTATAATGCTCTTTATAATTAATANTTTGTAATATTGTTTGGAGATAGTGGAGTTTTCTTTTGCAGCGCCCGAGGACGTAGGTTTTAATACCGAACCTCGTTAATTCCTGGTATTCTTTATTTTTGCATTTAATTTTGGCAATTTATTTATGCTTTATTACTTGTATTATTATATTCAATAAGCTAGCGTTAGAGTTTATGTTTCCGTTGCATAACATACAGTAGTAGTAAAAAACTAAGCAAATATAAAGAAGCAAACTAAGTAACTCAAAAACTATCTTTATGCAAAGCAAATGAATTATGTTTAGAGGGAAACTGTGTGTATTAAAGAAATCAAAGTTATTTTGTTTAAAGATGTAATAAAAAGGAACAAAAAGAAGCATACTCTAGTTCGTTATCTAACATTCAGTATCTAACCTACCATGGTTTCTCTTTTTTAGTTTTTCATAAAATCTGAAGAGTAAAATTTTTCATGGAAACTACTACAGTCATTCACATCACCATGCCATGTTCAAACAAATAAACAGGTGTTTGAGAGTATAATAGCAACAATGGAACTTGATGGTAAAGAAGCCTAACCATTAACTTTAGGTGCTTCAAATCTCAGCCTTGGAACGCCATCCTTGTCGAACACAATTCGAACGTCTTTACGATTAATTTTCCAGATTAAATCTCCATAACTGGTGATATGAAACCTCTTTCTGCCATATGATTTGATATCTCTATAATGAGTGGGATTAAACATCTTTCTGCCATATGATTTTATGAGGTATCATTAGAAGCTCGAGCCCATACCAAATCGAGATTTTGATCAAGAATACATACCTTGATTCGGTATCGGATGATTCTTCTGCAGAATTAACAGTTTGGCTCGGTGGAGAAGAATTTATTTCGATACCGGCTTCGATATCAAACATTGCTGGTGCATTACTGGTTCGGTTGGACGGAGTTGAATTCACAGGTTTACCATCTGCATCAGCTTGGCAGTTATGAATCTGACCACCCCCACCATGGGATGTTTGATATTGAATTGGAATGGCATGCTCTTGAAGAGACGCTGGAGTTAAAAGAATTTTTTTTATTCGAAAGATAGGAAGAGTTACATCAGTACTAAAAATTGAAAATATATAATATTACATACAAAAATGTAAATCGCAAAAAACACAAATAAAATAAGAAACAGACCTGCAATGCCAAGAAAAATAAAATACTTTGGTATAATTAATATGGTGTTGATTGATCTATGATGCACTAATTTGTGTTTGAATGTATGAGACATCAATTAAATTAATATACTGAAACAAATGTACCAAATCATAATCATAAACTCAAATCCAAGCACAGCTATATGTTATATCCTTATATGTACTCAACTACTATATTCTTGATCATATAATGCTTTCAAAATATATAAAAAAAAATGAACAATTGTTTATACGGAATAACTTTTAGTTTATTATTTTAGTTTGCCTTTCCTCAGTTCCTCTACTGAATTCGTTCATGCTATGAGCCTATAATGGTTTTTGTATTTCATTTTCTTAATAAAATCTTAAGTGTAGAAATTTTCATAGAAGCTAGTACAGTTACTCACTTCATCTTCACCATGCCATGGTCAAACAAATGAATCTATCGCTATTTTCATAATCAGCTTGCTGGTTATGAACCTGACCACCACCATGATACTGAAGACCTGAGTCAATAAAGAGTGTTGTTTGTTGTTGTTGTTGTTGTTGTTTTTTTTTTTTAATTTTTGTCAATGGAATGACAAGAATAGTAGTAGTAAAAATAAATTGAAAATATATTATATTGCATACAAAAATGTAAACCGCCAAAAAACACAAATTAAATAAGAAATAGACCTACAATGCCAATAAAAACAAAATAATTGAAATAATATGGTGTTGATTGATCTATGATACATTATCATTTGTTTAGTTACATCAATTAAACTAGTATCATAGAAATGAACTATAAACTCAAATCAAAGCACAACTATATGTCAGCAAATATAAAGAAGCAAACTAAGCAACTCAAAAACTACAAAAACTATCTTTATGCAAAACAAATGAATTATGTTTAGAGGGAAACTGGGTGTATTAAAGATGTAATAAAAAGGGAAAAAAAAAAAAAAAAAAAAGAAGCATACTCTTATTCGATATTTAATATTCAATAGGTAACCTACAATGGTTTCTCTTTTTCAGTTCCTTAAAAAAATTAAAAGGGTAAAAATTCTCATGTAAAAGGTTACATGAAAACTACTATAGTTACATCACCATGCCATGTTAACAAATAAACAGGTGCTTGAGTAAAATAGCAGCAACGGAACTTGATGATAAAGAAGCCTAACCGTTAACTTTAGGTGCTTCAAACCTCAGCCTTGGAACGGCATCATCGCTGAACCCACCTGTAATTATACAAGACTCCTTGCCCGGAAAGAGTATAAACGCCACTCGCTCGTATCGGTGATTCTGCCATATGAATTTATGAGGTATCGCTAGAAGCTCGAGAGCCCATACCAAATCGCGATTTTGTCAACAGATGATGCCATGAGTAAAAAAAAAACTACGATTTTTTTTTTTTTGGTTTTCAGAATAATGAGTTTAAGTAGTAGTTGGTTTAATGACTCATGATCATGAGTGTCTGAAACGAGGTCGTTTTATGATCTAGGTCAATGGTTTGGATATGTCGGCTTCGACGGATTAAAACATTAAAAAATTTTAGGTTAAATTTTAAAATTTCCCATAAACATCTTCAAATATTGTAAATGCATTGTCTAAAATCTTCAAAATTTCTAACAACCAATACAAAAATATATAATTTGAAATACTAAAAAGTATTATTTTAACACTATATACAACCTCATTCTATGGGTCGGCCCATTCTACGAGTTAGACTACACTATGAGTCAGTCATTTCTACGAGTGACGCTACTTTACGAGTTAGTTACTCTATGATTAAGGCTACCCTCCGAACTAGGTCTCCACTTATGTTTTGGGTCATTCCACAAGCTGGGTTTTTCTACAAGCTAAGCTAAATTGAGCTTCAACCTATTAGCCTATATTCGTCTCAAAATAGGACTCAAAGTCCTACTTATTTACTAGTTCATCCAAGGTTCCTAATCTTAGATGAATTAGTATTCCTATTTCTACATGGATGAACATTATGATTGTCCTATTCACTCAAACTCCTAAATTAAAACTCATAATTCAAACCTCTTTGGTTCGTTATATAAACAGTGGC